ATTACCCCGCGGGTGTACACACACTGGAGTTCTATGTATCAAAGCCTAGTGAGTACATCATTCTTTAAGCTCTTTTAAACATAATTCTGCTCTTTTGGTTTTCTTTCACGATATGAAATTACATGCTTTAATTTCTATAGCATTCAAGGTAGCGAGAGAACAAGAAGGAAGGATTAGTTAAAATCCTTATACCATTTTTAAAAATGTCCCTTACACCATTTTATTTTATTTTATTTTATTTTATTTTTTTTTGAGAGGTTTTCGCTATAGGGCGCGTGCACTCATCAGAAAGACAGAGAGATAGAAAGCGAGAAATCACCCCCCAGGGGGGATGGCCATGCCGCAATCCCTTTTCCTCCATTCTCCTCTCGGGATCTTGGGCATGCACGCACATGCGCCCGGCATGAGTTTAAGCCACCGGGTCCAGGACTCAAACCGCGGTCGACTATATGGGAGTCCAGTGACATAGCCATTACGCTAACTGCTGGTCTCCCTTACACCATTTTTAAAGTATTGTAGGCTCTGACATCATCAGCACTTTTATTAATGGTAGGTTGGAGTCGGTAGGCCTTTCTTGGCAGGACAGAAGATGATGATCAGGGTCATGACCTGCTAAAAGGCAGTGAAAGGGGAATGGAGTGATCAAAATCTAACAGATCATTCCCAAAATAGTCAGGAACTGACCGAAAGAGGAGAACCGGCAGCTGTTTGCACAGTGCTAGGCAAGTCAGGGCACTCATCAAAGTTCTGTACGTGACCACGCTCACCGGTAAATTCCAGAGTTACACAACATCTTGGGAAAGAGAAAGCAGTGTCGCAGTCTGGCCCTGGACAGGTGACCTGCTGTTTTCTGCTGAGTCTCTTGCTGTCACAAAGTGGTAGACAGTCCTTGGTGGTTTGTTTCTCAAAAATTCTGTGGGCATGGAGTAGAGGTTAAGAGCCAGCTCTCCTGGGTCAGCAGGAGAGAAACGGCAGGGAAGGGTGGGAGGAAGGAGAGATTGCACCCTGCCAGCCAGAGAGAAGTGGTAGTGCCGTTCTGTGAAGAAAGCTGCTTCCTTCACTGCAGTCATTATCGGCCTCAGAATCTTGATTGCTAATGCAGTTAAGACACCCGGGTCAGAAATAACTTTAAGACAGCAAAACAGAAAAGAAAGAGAAGAAAACGATGGCAACTTGTGCTGTCTTGCTCTCCTCAGGTTCACTCACTGCTCAGCTTGGATGCCTAGTAATTGCTTATCACACACTGCAAAGGTATACCCCGGAATTCTGAGCTAAAATCCTTTTGCAAGAGCAGGCTGGGGGTTGGCAGGTAGCACAGTGATTGAGGCACTGGATTCCCATGTGGCAGCCCACAGTTCGAATCCTGGATCCGGCGACTTGAAATTCACACCTGGATCTGTGAGTGTGTGAGTGTGTGAGTGTGTGTGTGTCTGCCCAAAATCCCAAGAGGAAAATGGAGAAGGGATTGTGGCATGGCCATCCCCCGGGGGATGATTTTTTCACTTTCTCTCTCTCTGTTCTCTCTGTGTCTCCAGTGAGCTCACGTGTCCTATAGCAAAAATCTCTCTCGAAGCAAAGGAACAGAAAATACAGCCTGCTCTGCAGTCTAGTCCCCTCTTCTCTTGCTGTAAAGCTACTGAGCTGCTTCTGGTGCCCCTGCCCCAGCTTTTTCATTTCATGCCAGTCTATGCTGTGATGAACTCTTCCTTAGCGCAGAAAATTCCCCATCACAACGTTAGCCAAAGTTCCCTCCTAAGATCCAACTTTGGGGTGGCCATGCTGAGGTGGGCAGTATTAAATGACTGCCCAGTGCCTGTTTGCTCATCAGCCCCAGGGGCTTCCTGTCTTATTTTCAGAAATTCTTCCTACTTCCTCCCACACAGCAGCTACCTGCCTTTGGATGGGAAGAGTATTGGAATGGAAATATGGAGTTGGTGATCCTTTGTGCTTTCAACCACAGAACCGTCCCAGACACTGGTCAGGGCATTACGGCCGAACCATTTCATTACACCACCCATGTGAGCGGTGCTCTAAGCATCCATTCTGGTTCTTTCAGCAGCCTTTTGAGCAAGCTCTTCTGTTTGTTGGATGAGTGGTTGGTAGAATGTGCGGGAAGAAGAGATGTCAGGGCTCTTCCTGGTCCCATAAGCTGTCTGAGGTGATCTTTGAAAATGGTTCACTATTCAATCATCCCAGAGAATCCCATAAGTCATACAAATCAAGAGGTTCAAATCTTCGTGTTCACCTTAGGAACACCCATGAAACTGTCCAGGCTGTCCAGGGTATGCACAGCTGAAAAACCACTAAGTATCTGAAGGATGTTACTTTATAGAGCAGTGTATGCCATCCTGTCTTACAATAGTGGAGTTGGTAGATGTGCCCAGGCCTAACAGCGGGCACAGCAGCCAAAAAGAAACCTGACTTTTTGTTGCACATGCTTAAAAATCCAGAGAGTCATGGTGACAGTAAAGGTTTAGATGTAGATTCTTTGGTCATTGAGCATATTCAAGTGAACCAAGCACCCAAGATGCACCATGATACCCACAGAGCTCATGGTCGGCTTAACCCCCCACATTAGCTCTCCCTGCCACAATGAGGTGACCTTCACAGAAAAGGAGCAAATTGTCCCTAAACCAGAGGAGGAGATTGCACAGAGGAAAAATGCATCCAGAAGCAACTGAAGAAACAAAAACTTATGGCATGGGAATAAATTCATCATAAAATAAATGTAGATAAAAGTAAAAGAAAAAATAAAAAGAAGTGATATCGGAATGGCTGTGGTGCTCTGACCACCATCCCACAGTGCTGAGTTTGAATATGGAGTGAAGGAAATGGCCGGAGAGCTGCTGGGTACATGGTGACTTTGCGCCAGTAAAGGAAAAAAGCAAACAACCAACCAAAACACCCCTGAGAATGAACTGTCAAAAGATGCCCCTTCTGTGTGGACCATCTGGGGGGAAAGGGCCACGATGCCTCCTGGGCACCTATTTCCTTATTTATTTTTTTGAAGAGGTTTTCGCTATAGGGTGCGTGTGCTCGCCAGAAAGACAGAGACAGAGAGACAGAAAGCAAGAAATTACCCCCCCCCCCCAGGGGGATGGCCACACCACAATCCCTTCTCCTCCATCCTCCTCTCAGGATCTTGGGCATGCACGCACATGTGCCTGGCGTGAGTTTAAGTCACTGGGTCCGGGACTCAAACCGTGGTTGACTACATGGGAGTCCAGCGACATAGCCATTACACCAACTGCTGGTCCTTTGGGCACCTATTTTTGAAAAGAGCAGCTTCCCAAGACGTAGAGCTTGGTCAGTGGAGTCTGGGCAAGACTGTAGCCGCACTGTAGTCCTCTGAGTGGGCATAATGCACAATGGTTCCAGTGACTATAGAAGGAGACCGTAGGACCTCCTAGGCATGGCTACTCGGTTTTCCACACCAGGCCATTTGGTGAAGATTCTTAGCAGCTGGTGGGAGAGGGTCTTTCACTACACGCCTTTACATGGCTCATTTCAGTTCACCTGGACCACAGCCCTCTAAGCAGGGATTTTTACAGATGAGGACACCGAGGATGAGGTAAGGATCTTGCCTGAGGTCCCAGTGTAGTCCCAGATCTTGAGCTTCACCCTGTTGTCTCCCCCAGCACTCATTATTCTCATTCTCTGATTTATTTTTTTCTCCATAGCATTTCATTTTTCATTTATGTGTTGTCAGTTTTCCCCAAGTACAATCATAAGATCTAAGAGGGTAGGTGTTTTATTCACTGCTGTGCCCCCAGTCCCTAGGACAAGCCCTATGGTACTGTGGCGCTCACTTAATATTGGTTAAATGAGGAACCAGCAATTGGCATAATAGCTATGTCACTGGACTCCCATGTAGTCAACTGCAGTTCGAGTCCCAGACCCGGTGGTTTAAACTCACACTGGACACATATGTATGTGAGCCTAAGATCCCAAGAAGAGAGTGGAGGAGGAGGGATTGTGGTGTGGCCATCCCCCTTGGGGTGATTTCTTGCTTTCTGTCTCTCTGACGAGCGCACGTGTCCCATACCGAATTAAAAAAAGAATAAAACTGAAATATATATATATATATATTGGTTAAATGAATGAACTGCTCAAATACCAGGGTGTTTTCTCTTAGACCTGTCTATTTCAGCAAATGACCTTTGGCAAATACTTACGTAATGCTTTGAGGTATTCTAGAGAAAAAATAGTGTTAGCAGAAAATGTCAGTTGCTGTCATTGGGATTTTCTTCAGCTAAGGAAAGCCAGTTTATAGCTTTAGACACATACTTAATGACTAAAAACAGGATTTTAATCAAAAGCCTTCCACCCTAAAATTCATGTCTACTTCAAAGAGAGAAATCCAAGGCCGATAAACTAAGGTATTTTCTATTTACTAAGACCAATCTTTGCCTTTAAAGACAGGTTTATTTATGGCCAATTTCTTCGATGATTCAGACGAAACCATCAGCCTGTTTTGCTCTGCTAGTTACGTGCGTATAGCAACACAGAACAATCTGGTAAATTATTATGCGGATGTGTTTAGAGCTCACAGAATTGAGAAATTCTTTAAACTAAAATTAATTTTGGCTACTTAAACTTGACATGCCAAATATCATGTTTCATATCTTAACATTGCAATTAAGTTTTGGTTAGGCTTTTAGAAATAATGAAGAGCTACACACTTTTTACTCATTTTACAAAATCTTTATCCCAATTTATTAAAATGGAACTGTAAGCGGGGAGCTGCACTGTGGCTATTGTTGGAGGAACAAAAGAAGCATTTAGAGACGTTCTCTGCCCTCTCGGAATTTACACGATAAATGAAAGAAAGCCGGAGTTATGTACACTCTAATGCCTCCAACAATAACTTGACTTTATTTGTAGTCAGGGAAGCCTGGCAACGGGAAACTTTTTTTTCCCCCCCTGAGTTTACGAGAAATGAACTGAATTGGAAAATCTTATTTGCTTTAACGAAACAATTTGCTCTTGTGCAACGTTAAATTGTGTCAATCAAGCAAGGAAAAGAAGAAAGCCTTATTTATAAAATTACCTGCTTTTGACTTCACTTCATTGCTTCTCAGGCTCCAAGAAGGGGAAAGAAAAATGAAGATTTTGGTACTTAGTATTTTTTTGTTTTTGTATTGGACCCCGGCCTGGACAAAAGATAAGCATTATTACATTGGAATTGTTGAAACAACTTGGAACTATGCTCCCAACAGTGGACCAAAGAAACTTATCTCAGTTGACACGTAAGTCATTATTTTTATTGTTTATGGAGCAAATTTATAAATTGTCAATTTAAAAAATTGAGCCGGTGTGGTGATATATTGCTTTAATTTGTTATATGTAGAAACTGCACAATGTGGACTTGGAATTCATGACACTTCAATTAAGCTGCTCTATGTCCTGAAATCTTTTTTACTTGAGAGGCTGCACTGATTCTGTCCCGTTAGTCCAGAGGAACTGTGTGGACCTCTTATTATCTCCCTGGTTATTCCTGCATTTTGCATTAGGATTCTGCTTTTGTTCATTTGTTTGTTTAGGCAAAATTCTTGAATATAAACAAGGACTGTGTAATATGTATGTAACATTTATTACAGCATTTGCTGGTTATATAGTGAGGGTGAAATATTTTTTAATATTTCAAAACATTATGTATAAAAATAAAATAATTATAACAAACATGCTACTGCCTAATACTTGAGGGGTGACTCTGGACAGTTAATGCCCAGCTTCAGAGTGATAATCTATTGAACAGGATAGTAATAAGCACACCTTTAGGGTTGTCTGAAGAGCGGGTACATGCAGAGCTCTCATCATTGTGTGTGGCACACCATACATGTGCAAAAATAATTACTTATTCCGATGCTGCCAAAAGACTCCATTTAATTTAAATGTTTTTTTTTCTTTCTTTCTTTTTTTTTTTTGGAGAGGTTTTTGATATAGGGCGCGTGTGCTCGCCAGACAGACAGACAGAGAGAGACAGAGAGACAGAAAGAGAGAAATCACTCCCTGGGGGATGGCCATGCCGCAATCCCTTCTCCTCCATTCTCTTCTCAGGATCTTGGGCACGCACGCACACGCGCCCGGCATGAGTTTTAACCCACCAGGTCCGGGACGTGAACCGCAGTCGACTACATGGGAGTCCAGCGACATAGCCATTATGCTAACTGCTGGCCCCATTAATTTAAATGTTTTCATGTTGCAATTGAAAGTCTCCCTTATTCAAACAATAATGACTATACAAAAATAAATAAATAAATGAAGTATTTAGTTCTCAAGGGAAGTTTTTTTGTTATGGAAGTTGTCTCGCTTGAGGTCATCACTGGTCATAATTCTCATTAAATACTTACCAGATTTATCAAATGGAAATTTGGCATTCAAAACGAGTAATTTACTCTCTTAGACAATGTATGTATTGAGATGACAGGAATTCCCTCTGTTATAATCATTGCTTGGCCACTAGTACTTTGAATATAGGAGACGTTAAATAAGTATTTGCTAATAAATGTAAATGGGAAAAGGTGTACTGGAAGCTCAAGGAAATTATAAGCCAATATACACCTTGTCTTGCTCCTCAGGTGGACAGATACTTGCTATGAGATAAATCAGGCAATAGAATAAAATAGGAAAATGTAGGGAGCTAGATAAAGAGCTGGTAGGACTGAAAATATTGGCAGTTATTAAAAGAGGAAATTGTAGATTTTTTTCTAGAAAAATAGTTTACCTCTCTGGTATTGATTTCAATTTTTATTTCTTATAGGGTGAAGTGGAAAGTAATTTTCTTATACTCAGTACCACTATTTACACAGGTCGATGCCTTACCTGGCACTTCAAAAAATCAATAGATAAAATTCTGATAAGATATATTTATTAATCCTAAGATTTATTCACTGATCCTAAGTTGTGTGTATTTAAATAAAAATAAAAGACATACATATGAAAATAATCGTAACTACAACAGCATGTTCTGGGTCCAAAGTTATTATTAACTAAATATCTACTGAATGAATTGACTCTAAAATAGCAAATGCTTCCATTATTTTTGGGTTACTTTTTTTTTTCTGGTGACCTCTAGGAAGATAACAATAAGAGGAAAATTCTTGAAGCACAAAAATAGCATCACAAAACCCTTTTATTCTTGACTTCATAGGCCCTTGGGCTTGTTGATTTCCTTTATTTTTAAATAGTTTTATTTTATTTTAAAATTGACAAATAATAATTGCATGCATTTATGAGGTACAATGTGATGTCGTTATATATTGTATATTGTGGAATGGTCCAATCAAGCCAATTGTATATCATTACCTCAACTATTCATCATTTCTTAACATACATTTCTTACCAACTTTATTTAGTTTTCCAGTCCATTATAGGTTCAAAAACAAATAATATAATGAAGATGTTATTACAGGGCCAGCCTGTGGCATGGGGGTTGGCCATGTGGTTGGAATACAGGACATATGGGGCACCTGTGCACGAATGCCCACAAATTTGAAAGGAGGAAGAAATGGAAGAGAAGGGATTGTGGTATAGCCATTCCCCAGAGGAGATGCATTCTCCATTCTCACTTTCCCTCTCTCTTTCTCTGGTTCTCTCTGCTAAGTACATGTACCCTCTGGGGGAAAAAAAAAAAAGACATTTATAAGTAGACCCAATAACCAGAAGGAAATAACAGTTCAAATCTGATCCAAGAAGTAGACAACAAAGAACATTCCATACTCTATCACATAATTATAATTATGATATTGAGTGATCAGGTTGTAATAAGTATTCTGTAAATGGGCATTTTTGCTATTATTATAGGGGAGAGAGAGAGTTTTCTTCCTTCAGTATATCCACTGTTTAAGAAAGCAAACAAAAAATATATGTATTTTAATTTGCACTAAAGACATTTCTTTTTATCTGTGTCAAAAGATTGACTCAAGGGGACCAGCAGTTAGTGTAATGGCTATGCCGCTGAACTCCCATGGAGTTGACCACGGTTCGAGTCTCGGACCCGGTGGCTTAAACTCACGCTGGGTGTGTGTGCGTGTGTGCCCAAGATCGCGAGAGGAGAATGGAGGAGAAAGGATTGTGGCGTGGCCATCCCCCCGGGGGGGGGGGTGATCTTTTGCTTTCTGTCTCTCTGTCTCTCTTTCTGGTGAGCGCACATGCCCTATAGCAAAAACCTCTTCAAAAAAAAAAATTAACTCAAGCCTATTAAAATGTTAAGTTTATCTGAGCCAGTCCATGTATTGGGCTATAAGAGGACCACAAGCAGTTAAATGCTCCACTACGAATAGGTGGGTGGAGGGAGTGAAAGAATTACAAGGGAAGAAGTTCATTATGTGCTCCCAAAAGCAAGACTAAGAACGTATATTTGATTAAAATGTAAAGTGTCAGGACCAACAAATGGCAGAACGGTTATTCACTGGACTCCCACATAATTGACTGCAGTTCCAGTCCCAGACCCGGCTCTGTAAAAGACAGTAGGTCTCTATGCATGCATGCCCAAGATCCTAGGAGAAGAATGGCAGAGAGGGGATTGCGGTGTGGCCATCCTCCAGGGGTGATGGGGGTAGATTTCTCGCTTTCTATCTCTTTCTCTCTGGCGAGCACACGTGCCCTACAGCAAAAATCTCTCTCTTAAAAAAATGGAAAGTGTCAGGTTAGAATTAGTCAGTGGTTTCTCATCACCTACACTTAAGTTTTGTTACAGTGGTTACATTGGGGGGGGGGGGGGTATGGTTTTTTTTGTT